CATGGCATCACTTCTTTGCTGCGTCACTCATTCCACATAACATTATTCCTCGTTTCAGGTTTGGGAACTTGGCAAGCTTTAGATAAGCTACACGTCGGATCCGCCTCTTGGTGTCATCGTTTATTCTGCTAATCTTGAATTTACGAAACTGCCTTCTCGTTGTGTACCCCATGCGCGTACAGTACACTTATGCTTGATAATGAGTTTTCGCGATGAAGCAGAGTAATTTTCGAGTTCACCGAAGCAGTGAGCTTTGCTCCTATTGACATTTTTCTGCTTTGGCATTCTGCTTCTCCGTCACGGAATTGGAAACTGCAACACTCAGAGCAACAGCTGCTAGAAGCAGGGCAGCAAGAGCAGGCTCTTTGTGACTGCCATTCCCACAGTAAAACCAGTCCTGTAACTACCCGATCATGGCTATCTATCCCATTGCCAGGTACAGGTTTAACTGTCACATGCCAGGCCTGGCGATAAGAGTATGTGCAGCCCTCTCATTTTCAACATACTCGTCAATGGCGGATCCAGTGATCTCTACAGGAGGGTTCCAGTATAGTCAAAACTGAATAGCTCATACATGTACATGGGCATGCATATAGTTGCCAGTAGTACATTTAGGAGATCTAGGGGGTTCCACGGAACCCCTGGAATCCCTCCTGGATCCGCCCCTGCTCGTATCTCTGATGTTAGTCGGTCGATCATGCGAGTACGCTGCACTGCGACACGACTTCATAATGCTTTCGTCTTTTTGCGCATGTGTGCTATTTTGTCGTAGGATCTTCGTCGTCAACTCGACTCCATCTTGTGGCAGCTGTACCGCGAGTCTCACCAGGTATCCACATCAGCCGCTCGGCCTCCTTCGCCGCCCGACTGCTTTGAATACACCGGTGACAGTCGGCGTAATGCCCTGCTACAAACCATCATTGACCTCATATCTAAAGAGCAGGCCAGCAATCCAGCAGCCACAGCGGAAGACGCAGCGTCGTCGCGTGGTGATGCGCACGCTTCTCACGCCGCCTATGCCGGACACCCCAAGAAGAAGAGAAGCAGCCCGGTCGGGTACGGCGACTCGTATGCCGGCCAATATCACCGTGGCGACGATCAATCAGAGTTCTCTCGTAAAGGCAAGCGCTCGTCCGGCCCTGCAGGTGGAGGTCACTACCAACATCCTGATGCCCATCATGCTAGTTCACGCGGTCGACCGAGAAAACAGCACTTCAACTGGCGTGACTTCTGTTGAAATCAGCGAAGATGCCATTAGTCAAGCTGCTACTTGGACTTCTGTTGAAATCGGCGAAGAGTCCATCAGTCAAGCTGCTACTTGCAGAGCTTATCTAATGATCACATTGACTGCTGGTCTTGGAGCCCGTTCTTCGCTTACTGAGTCAGTCAGTCAGTCAGTCACTTTAATATCGAGTCAGTCCGTTGAACTAGTCATGAGTTCATCCGTCGGTCTATGAGTTCATCCGTCAGTTGGTCTATGAGTTCATCTGTTGGTCTATGAGTTCATCCGGCAGTCGCTCAGTTGACCAGTCCATCTGTCCATCAGTTGACCAGTCCATCTGTCCATCAGTTGACCAGTCCATCTGTCCATCAGTTGACCAGTCCATCTGTCCATCAGTTGGCCTGTTGGTGGGGATTAGGCTGTTGGCAATTAGTCAAGAAAACTTTTTATTGACCTATATCAGTTGCTCGTAAATTATTTCATTCGAAATACATGTCATCCGGCCAGCTGGTCAGTCAGGTGATCAGTTGCTCAGTTAGTACCACCGATAGTACTGTGTATACTATAGTGGTCACCATGGCTACTGTATCCAGGCAACATATTCGAGTGCATTGTGCATGCATGCATGTGCACGGGAGTTGTTCATGTGCACACATGTGTCCAGCTCTCTACTTGACTTCTGATTGACCTTAAAAGGCCTTGTCTTTGTGCACCACTGAGCTACATCATTGCAGCCATCGCCGTTGTTGTCGTCGTCTTCATTGTCCTCATCATCTGTTCTAGTCAGTAGTCATGATGGCTACATGCTATAGCAGTAATGGTGTGCCTATACCGTATATATGTACCAGTAATGGTGATAGCAGACCATCAAGACAGTGAAGTGGAGAGAACTGCACCCCTCGGTGACCAGTGAATGCCAGTGACAGATCATGCATGTATTCACATTCCTCTTGTGTGCAGCTACACGGCCCACCTGTGTTCTCACCTTGTCACAATGCGTGCATGTGTACGTGTGTGCCTCTGTGTGTGTGTGTGTGTGTGTGTGTGTGTGTGTGTGTGTGCGTGCGTGCGTGTGTGTGCGTGTGTACGCGGCAGCACATTGGGCGCTTTCGATTACACGCATTTCAGTCAATTCTAGAATTAGTTATTGTTGATGCACAGTTCGATTACACAAAAAGTGACAAATTCCGTCGTTAGAATTGATTTTATCCAATTCCGTCAAATCCATCAATTCTGAAGAGAGGGCGGAATTTCTCTAATTCTGGCGCCAGAATTGCACACTCGGTGTGTTACCGGTCTGGTCATGCATGACTCAAGTCAAGGAAGAGCCTCCCTGGCCGGTGTGGCGCGAAAGCAGGGCTACAACTGGATGTAGTTGCTACTTTTGTCTTCCCGAAAAGCTAATTGCCGCTGTTGAGTTTCCGCTGGGAGCTGATTATTAGACCAGATCCTTTTGGGTGGTCCTTTCGCACACGCATTCAGCTTTATCATTGCCGACATGGAGCCTTCGCCGGGATGGACCGTTACGCGAAGCTGGGTCAACGTGCGCGCGAGGGTGTACAGTACGTGATATCTTTTTACGACCAATCTTGTTTGTGATATGCCATGAATAAAATGCGTTGTGAATTCCAGTCGTTCGTTTACATGCCCGGAATTCGTACATTTTGGTCATTCGAGAATTACAAAACCCAGTTCCAGAATTGTGTAAACGTGTAATCGAAAGCGCCCATTGTGTGCTGTTGTATCATCTGGATTCCGGATTCTCTCAACTGGCAGGTTGTGTAAGTGTCCCAGAGGAAGGCACGGTTTCATCATGCATCCCCATATCCCTCTACATAGTGCATGGATATCCCCATATCACTCTACACCGTGTAACACAGTGTTACACTGTATAACACTGTGTAACACTGTGCTACACAGTGTAACACTGTGTTACACAGTGTTATACAGTGCATGTATTACATGTACATGGTACACCTTGTTTCATGCTCTCAAACTAACAACATACGCAGTATTTCATGAAGTTGGTTGCTCCAACGAGGAGCACACGCTTCTTGCCGAACTTGACTGACTCACGACTGCCATCCGGAGCACACCAGGAGCACGTCGCACCTTCCGCTCGGCAAACCTGAAAGAAAGCACCACTCCCTGCTCAATACACAGTGTTTCGGGGAATTCACCCCTCATCAGTTGAGCTTGAGTAGGCTGAGGAAGATTACCGCCGAAGTCGCAACTTCTAAGTTCGTATACGCAGTATTTGTTCAAGTATTATTCCGGTCACATCAGTGTTGACTGTTGAGCACTTCATCGGTCTCCCTCACGTTGTATTTGTACTCGCACAGTTTCTCCATTACCGGTAACCCTACTATAACCCTACTATAACCCTACTGTTACCCTACTGTTACCCTACTGTAACCCTACTGTAACCCTACTGTAACCCTACTGTAACCCTACTGTTACCCTACTGTTACCCTACTGTTACCCTACTGTAACCCTACTGTTACCCTACTGTAACCCTACTGTTACTCTACTGTTACCCTACTGTTACCCTACTGTAACCCTACTGTAACCCTACTGTTACCCTACTGTTACCCTACTGTTACCCTACTGTAACCCTACTGTTACTCTACTGTAACCCTACTGTTACCCTACTGTAACCCTACTGTAACCCTACTGTAACCCTACTGTTACTCTACTGTTACCCTACTGTTACCCTACTGTAACCCTACTGTAACCCTACTGTTACCCTACTGTTACCCTACTGTTACCCTACTGTTACCCTACTGTAACCCTACTGTAACCCTACTGTTACCCTACTGTTACCCTACTGTAACCCTACTGTTACCCTACTGTAACCCTACTGTTACTCTACTGTTACCCTACTGTTACCCTACTGTTACCCTACTGTAACCCTACTGTAACCCTACTGTTACCCTACTGTTACCCTACTGTAACCCTACTGTTACCCTACTGTTACCCTACTGTTACCCTACTGTTACCCTACTGTTACCCTACTGTAACCCTACTGTTACCCTACTGTAACCCTACTGTTACCCTACTGTAACCCTACTGTAACCCTACTGTAACCCTACTGTTACTCTACTGTTACTCTACTGTTACCCTACTGTAACCCTACTGTAACCCTACTGTAACCCTACTGTAACCCTACTGTTACCCTACTGTTACCCTACTGTAACCCTACTGTTACCCTACTGTAACCCTACTGTAACCCTACTGTAACCCTACTGTTACCCTACTGTTACCCTACTGTAACCCTACTGTTACCCTACTGTTACCCTACTGTTACCCTACTGTTACCCTACTGTTACCCTACTGTAACCCTACTGTTACTCTACTGTAACCCTACTGTTACCCTACTGTAACCCTACTGTAACCCTACTGTAACCCTACTGTTACTCTACTGTTACCCTACTGTAACCCTACTGTAACCCTACTGTTACTCTACTGTAACCCTACTGTTACCCTACTGTTACCCTACTGTAACCCTACTGTTACTCTACTGTAACCCTACTGTTACCCTACTGTAACCCTACTGTAACCCTACTGTAACCCTACTGTTACCCTACTGTTACCCTACTGTAACCCTACTGTAACCCTACTGTAACCCTACTGTTACCCTACTGTTACCCTACTGTAACCCTACTGTAACCCTACTGTAACCCTACTGTTACCCTACTGTTACCCTACTGTTACCCTACTGTAACCCTACTGTAACCCTACTGTTACCCTACTGTTACCCTACTGTAACCCTACTGTTACCCTACTGTTACCCTACTGTTACCCTACTGTAACCCTACGGTTACTCTACTGTTACCCTACTGTAACCCTACTGTTACCCTACTGTTACCCTACTGTAACCCTACGGTTACTCTACTGTTACCCTACTGTTACCCTACTGTTACCAGGGGCGTAGCACCCGCTACGACTGGTACGGCCATGGCCGTACCACTTTTCGAAAAGTGTGGTCCGTCCGAAACGTGCAAAACCGTGATAAAAAATCAGGATCCATCGATGGCATGCATATATGCGCGCATCAGACTTTGACCTTTTTCTAGACTCGTAGATCTGTTATGCATCTGTAGTCGTAGACCCTACTGAGTACTGTACTCGACTCGACTGCACACTACGAACGACGTTACGTACACGTAGAAGTGTGCCAGAAGTTCCCAGAACGCAGGATTTTGTGTCTTTTTTACAAAATTTTCCCGGGGGGAGGTCCCCCCGACCCCCCTCCAGCACGGCCTTCGGCCGCAACGACCTTCGGCCGTACCACTTACAAAACCCCTCCTACGCCCCTGGTTACCCTACTGTTACCCTACTGTAACCCTACTGTTACCCTACTGTAACCCTACTGTAACCCTACTGTAACCCTACTGTTACCCTACTGTTACCCTACTGTTACCCTACTGTTACCCTACTGTTACCCTACTGTTACCCTACTGTAACCCTACTGTTACCCTACTGTAACCCTACTGTAACCCTACTGTAACCCTACTGTTACCCTACTGTTACCCTACTGTAACCCTACTGTTACCCTACTGTAACCCTACTGTTACCCTACTGTAACCCTACTGTAACCCTACTGTTACCCTACTGTTACCCTACTGTTACCCTACTGTTACCCTACTGTTACCCTACTGTTACCCTACTGTTACCCTACTGTAACCCTACTGTAACCCTACTGTTACTCTACTGTTACCCTACTGTTACCCTACTGTTTCGTATAGAAGCCTATCTCATGAAGAAGCAGGCTGATTGGAATACAAGTCTGATTGGAATAGCAGCCTATATTGGACGGAGGATTACGCCCAGTCTTCATGCATGACAGTTACTACGGTTACGGGTACTAGTATATACTTGAGCACTCATTGTGGTTCTTTCTCCCCCCCCCCTACTATCCCTCTCGCTCCTCCCCCTCCCCTCTCTCTCTTTCTCACGCACACATACACAGGCACACACACACGCGCACGCACGCACACGTGCACACACACACACAGACGTCTTTCTTGCTCTTAGTTACTCGCCCAGTCTCACTCCCCTCATACTCCCAAGACCGAGCGGACAAGACCACAACCAAGTCAGTACAATCCATAGCATGCATGTCACAAGACGTGGACTCCCAAACTGAGCATTCCTGTTCGCGAGGCTTTTCCGGGGGGGGGGGGGGGGGGGGTGTTCCAATGCAACCAGTGTGGAGACACATTTGCATTTGACGCCCGGCCATGCTACATCCCAGGGCGGCTGTCACTGTAGCTGTGTCAGCACAAAACAGGTATCAGAGATAAACAACCTTCCAGCCAATCGAGTCAGGTGGCTTTACTTTACTAACCTTCCAGCCAATCGAGTCTGGTGGCTTTACTTCGATCCTTGGAACGCAACTTTGGTGCTCTCTCCCGTAGGTCTACCAACATAAGTGCCTATATCGCCAATATCGAAGACTAGACTCATCATTCGTAGAATGTTTCTGTTTCTCTCTCTCTCTCTCTCTCTCTCTCTCTCTCTCTCTCTCTCTCTCTCTCTCTCTCTCTCTCTCTCTCTCTCTCTCTCTCTCTCTCTCTCACACACACACACACACACACACACACACACACACACACACACACACACACACACACACACACACACACACACACACACACACACACACACACACTCTCTCTCTCACACACACTCTCTCTCTCACACACACTCTCTCTCTCTCACACTCTCTCTCTCACTCTCTCTCTCTCTAGCTCTCTCTCTCTCACTCGCTCACTCACTCTCTCTCTATCGCCTCAGGATCTCATAGAAACTGCAAGAGAGTTGCAAGCAAAGCCCGCATGGCATTCTGGCACTAGCCTACCTAGTACTAGTACCTGCATATCGTGGCTGGGTGTGGCCACTGGCACTGGCCACTGGCACTGTGCTTGTGTTGAACTCCCTAGTGAGTAGTCATATAGTTTTAGGAAGGTTTCAATAAAGATAACGCCCTTTATGGCCTTTGACCCTAGTAGCTAAGCGCATCTGGAGCTCTAAATGTGTACACGGAGCCCTAAATGTGTCCAGAACAGCATCTTTACTTGGATCGTTTGACCCTTCCTTGGATTCTTTGATCGCTGGCGGCGTGTACTATGCTTACGGGGACCCCACACAGGCTAGTTTCCGGCACCGCATACTTGCTGTAGACCGGATATGTAGCCCCCAAGATCACTGCACATACGCGCAGAGAGCAACCCGGATCCTGATCGCACTAACCTCTATGTCGGACTACAAACTCT